AAAGGAAGTCAAATTATTTCAACTATTTGTGACTAAATTAAATCAAATATTTGAGAGAAATACATAATCTTATTCAAATAATTCAGTCAATTATGCATATACTACATATGTTATTAAATTAAACCAACAGTTAATTGACATGCTATTTCTTCTACAGTATCCCTGAAGTAGTACACATACTTCAATAAAGTTTGTTAATAGTCTCCTTTTGGAATTAAATTATGTCAAAGATCACTTCATGCACTTTTAGTACATTTGTCATTTTAGTCGTCTTACACAGCTCTCTCTAGTTTGATTTCCACTCTTCAAAAGTGACTACAAAGGACAACTTAACCTACAAAGTCTGAAAGTTTCTGGGAGTGAAACTTACGGAGCCAGTTTGAATCAATAAACCCACCTGCATTAGGTGAGGTTACAAAATCATATTTCCCTTCACACTTTCTAAAACAATTGGAATAGTTAAGCACTTTTGGACTAGACAAAAAAAGTTCTCTTGTAATTTGTAATGTAGAGCTTTTTTTTTTCCCCCCCGTGTGCATATTTTGAACTGCTGACAAGCTCAATCTTGAACTAGGAATAATGTGGTTTTAAATTAAATATTCATTAATTACTTGCAATATGAAGTACTATTTAAGATTTTTTTGTTGCTTGATATGTCACAATGGTCATATCCTAGAGATAACAAAATACCATTAAAGCTAATAATACAGAATACATTAAGTACAGCTTCTAGGGTTTCGAAATTTTGTCTAGGAGGTGGGAAAAGCTTTGGACTTTGCAGAGGAAGAACCAGTGACCACTTATAAAAATCGGACAACAATCAGTGAGTGTTCTCTACTTTCTGGTAAAGTGTGTTGCCCAAATTCAGAAAGTCTTTCAACATTGCCTAGGGTGACATTTCATGTCAGCTAGGAAAATATAGTTTAGATGCTTTCAGAAAACCAGTCTCAGTGAGAGCTATCAATTCACTTTTACAATGGAAGCTGATACTGAATGAGGCTCTATCGTGTCTGACCTGGATCCCGTTCCATCCAGTATTTTCCTCACTGATGGGTAATGGCCTGGAATATTTATTTTATTAAATGTTATTCATTTGCAGGTGACGTGTATGTGTTTGAAGAACAAAGGAAAGACCATAATACTCTGCTAGTCAGACAGAAATAAACCTGAAATAAATGGCAGGAGCCTACAGGGTATGAATTCTAAATTATCTTGGCAAACTGGAGATAGCACATGGAGGAAAAAAAGAGCAAAAGGAACGACCAGTACAGAATCACTATATTAAAATAGGAATAATCAGATGCACAAAACAAGATGGGAAAGAAGTGGTTTCTTCTCTAGAAAAGTATGCTTGAGTTTATTCTGCATCACACATTGATTATGAGTGAACAGTGTCATGTCTTTGTAAACAAGGCAAACATAGTGTTATGAATGTAGACAAATACCAACTGGGGTCGTAAGGTAAACCTATTCCTCTGTTCCATACTCATAAAACATCATGTAGAAGAAAATCATGCTTCAAGAAAAAAAGAAAACAGGAGAATCTCCAAACTAGAGCAACTAAAAGATTAAAAGTCTAGAAAATAAGACCTGTGAGGAAAGGTTGAATAAAATGTGTTTTTTTCATTTTTGGGGGTTTTGTTGTTGTTGTTGGCTTTTTTTTTTTTTTTTTTTTTAAGTGTGATAGCAATCTTTTGTGTTTTAAAGGCTGTTGCAGAAGGGAAGAGAACAATTCTTTTTCTGTGGCATGACAGACAGGAAAATAAACGATGAGCTTAACCTGCAGGAAAGAAGGCTCAAATTTCATAGTAGCTTTCAAAGATAAAGGGAATAAAACATTGGATCAGGCTACAGGTTTTTAAGAAGCAATTCAATAAACATAGGTAAGGAATCAGCAACAGTTGATCCTGTCGCAGGAACAGAAAGATGGACTAGGGTTCAAGGTCCACTGCAGCCCTGATTTGCTTAGACCATGAAAAATAATGAAGTATCTTGGATGTAAGTATCTTAACATCCATGCTGAATGCAGCACTTAAAACTCTGGAAAAGTATCACATTCAAAATTACCTTACTAGGGAAAAAGATGTATTGACTATTGTCTTTCAATAACACTGAAGTTTCCGAAACAAGATGACCACCAGTGAGACTGTTGATATTCAAAATGCACAGTAGGGGACAACAATCAGAGCATGTTTAACTCCAGGCGCTCTAGAGAAAAACTACAAAAATAAATCAAAATAATTTTCATAAGAACCTGGCTGTTAGAGCAGTCCCGTTGATGGCTAAATCCTGGTGGGCTTTCCAAACACGCATTTTCTAGCCTTCTCACTTCCAGTAGTCACCTACCTCTCAAACTGGAAGCTTATGTTTTACACCATGAGACTAGACACCAGCCTAAAGCCCCCGTTTATTAGCTGTGATTATTTCTGCTAGTCTCTCTTTAGGTTCGTGTTTTGTAGTTTTGCTCTTTCTGCTGGCAAGTCATAGAATCAGTGTACAAGCAGTCTTATTAGGGTGTTTCTGTCTTCTGGGCTTCAGGATCTGGACAGCATTTGCAGCTGTTATCAAATAGATTACAAAAATAACATGAAAACAGAGGACAGTAATAGCAAATTAAAAGGAAGATCTCAGAAACCTCCCAAATTGACAGTATTGCAATTGCTGTACTACAGCATTACCTAAACACCCACTTATTACACATGTTTTGCCAGAAAAATTCTCTCCAACACAAAAATATGTATACATTACCACCACTCCTAGCATTGTCGTTTGAAGTACATACTTTCAACAAAGTACAACTCTACCGCTGTGAAGTTCAAACAACTGATAACACTCAAAGTCCATTGCCAAAACTCTCCTACTTGATGGTCAGAAGGCATAACTGTTCACTGAAAACCATGTTCAAGCCACACAACTAAAATACTTCCCAGCTTCAAGAATTCCTGTGTTTTGGAGACCACTATATCTTTGTGACCAAGACATTAATGGCAGGCCTCTGGAACCCCTCAGCACAGCTATTCATCCATTCTCAGATGCCAACCTGTTCTTGTGGAAATGGTACTGCCTCCCATCATCCAGTAATTCTTAACCTAGTACTTGTGAAATATCCCAGATTTTTGTCAGAGTTTACAGCTGGGAGAAAAGTTGAAGAAGGTGCACGTGAAAAACATCAGAAGGGCATAGGAAGGAGGCATGGAAATAGAACTGGGGATTTCTAAAATAATTCAGCAGTTCTGAGATCAAGATGCCCTCCAGTGCAAGAAGTTACCCCTAAATTGTTCTGAATCCTTTGCACTCCCACTGAAGGTTCTCAGCCCTGCATAGGTAGGCATTTGTTGGATGCTTGTCAGAGGTGGTAAGAGTAATTCCTTCCTGTCCTGTAGTCTTTGGTGGCTATCCAAATAAAAAGAAAATTATAAGGAGAGGAAAAGGATTTGTGAGTCAAGAGAGGATTATTAAATTGTAAATGGCATTTTAAGGCCGATGTTGGAATACTTCATCCAATTCTGATATCCACATTTTAAAGAGACTATTATGGGTTTGAAGGGATCAGAAAAGGTGCAAAGACAAAGGACTCAGAAGACAGAAAGATATACAGAGAGATGGAAACATTTTAGTTCATTTAAGAACAAGGTAATTTGATTGTAACAACTTAAGTTATAAGAACTTCCCACAGGAGAGAGATACTAGATACTAAGTGCATGCGATGTAAAAGACAAGGTAATTCAAATTAAAAAGGTAATTTTTTAGCAGATGGGAGAATAATCGTTAGAATAAGCAATTATTAGAAAGCTCTTGAGCCCATAGATCAAGGTTGGGCATCTTCTAAAAGATTTACCTCCATCAAGTTACCAGGCTTTGTGCAGGGGTAGCATATAAAGTTTATACCAAAAGAAGACCAGACTTAATGATCTAATGGCCCTTCTTGGTCTTAAAACCTATAAATATTTTAGTAGAGAAGTACAGTGTGCTGTGATGCGAGTGCTTGTTATGCTTCTGGATTCAAGTCAGTTGACCAAGTACACTCCTGAAGGCTACAGATGCTGGGTGAAGAATAAAGCACTCTTGTATCACCAAGCAACACAGTGTTCTTGGTGTTATATGACTTTTCTCTCCCATGAAACATTATACAGTAATATCAGTCTGCACAGAGTTTACTCAAAACAAGGTCCCAAATCACTTTTGGGACATAACCTAACAAAACAGACTGCCATGGGCAGTTTCAGGAGGCAGCTGAGATTTCCCACCGACTATCTGTTGTTTAAGCAAAATTGAGCAGTTACACATAGTGAGAGACAGCTACTAATTCAGGTTGCCTTTTAAGCATTTGACAGCAAAAAAAAAAGACAACTTGGCATTTAAAATTCACAAAATATCTCCAGAACCATTCCAGCTCCCCTGGATAAAAATGAAGCTATCCATCTCTACTTCGAGTAAGGTCCAATGCAGATGTGAGTTTTCACAAAGTTTAAGTATATACTTATGCAAGTAAGCATAGATACCTCAGATATCACTGAGAATAACAGATACACAGAGAGGAAAAGGATTACGCTATACAGCTTGGTCATTTTTCATATCTGTACTCACTTTTTCCTGGGGTTCTATTAAGAACCATACAGAATGTTTGGCTACAGTCTATTAAGAACATCAGACTTCACTATTGCAATTTTCTTATGAAATCTCTGATGAGAAGTATGAAAACAACGAATCATCTCTGCATCTATATACGTATTAAGAGATACAGGACAGCAAAGCACAAAAGTAGTGTGATTATCTTGCATTTAAGGAAAGACACACTATAAACAGCAACAAAAATCTTTGCTGAAAGCATTTTGTGTTACTTTTGTTTACACAAACAAGTCCTGTGTATCTCAACAGAGGTTAATCATATGATTCCCAGGAAAATTTTTTCCTGTTTTTTTTTTTAATTAATATCTTATATACAATGCAGATACAATAATATTTAGTCAAAATACTCTTCTACATATACACATTAGTACTCGTCATGGTTTATCCAGCACAGCAGTATTCATTCTCAGATATCGGATCACAACCTATTTAAAATTATTACCATTTGCAAGGTAAATAGCACATTTTATCACACATTCTTACTCTAAACATTACTGTCATTTTCATAAATTGGACACATATCCAATGAAAACATGCAATTGCTGAGGTAGAGATCTTTTCCAGATCCAGTAGGAAATTCAAAATATCTTTAAGTTCATCAAGACTGGGTACCTATGACTTTAAAAGTCCTTCAGAGAACTTTTCACATCATCTGTGATCAAATGATCACAATTCTCTCATAAGTACTCATATTCTTGATATTAGTGGATGTAACTTTTTATGATAGCTGTTAACCACAAAAGAGGGGGATCAACTGGAAAAAGTACAGAGTTTAACAAACAGAATCAGAAGTCTAGAAAGTCTGTTCTAGTTGAAGAAGTGGGTTTGTTTAGTCTAAAAATGAGGAGACTGAGGAAAGATATGATAACAGTCTTCAACTATGTAAAAGGTTGTTGTAATACGGCTTCTTCATGCCCACAAGGGAT